AGAATGGCCTGCAACTCAACTCACTGCTAGACGCCAGAATCCCACACACTGGACTTTGCAACACTAAAACCGAGTAGTAATAGCAGGCCTGGGAAACTTAGTACAGATAGGCTGACGATTAGGAATGTATTTTTGTACGGGTGATACTTCGCCAGCGCTGCCGGTGTATATATAGTGACTTTGAGCTGTATTACTTGCTTTCGAGCAGTAAACCCGCTAACGGTAGCACTGAGAGTAAATTCCGTTGTGTAAATAGAAGGCCGTATTGTGGAGATGAGATAAGAGGTGGGAATGTGAGTGGTGGGTGTGGAGGTCTCCGCATGGATTAGTTGGGAAGGTTGGCGAACACGCCAGAGAGCGAGCAGCGTGTCACACACTGAACATGGCTGCGTTTGTTGGATCCCACACATTCTGAGTATTCGTCAGAAAAACTAAAGCATAATGCGGTAGTAAAACAGCTTAAGAAGTGGAATCATTCCTTACATAGTCCTGGATGTCCCTCAGTTTGAAATGCCCCTTGTCCACATCTCCACCTCTGATGTTTTCTTCCCGCCTTCCATCGCACGTTCTTCTTCAAAGGACTTGACATTTACTGATTCAAGCAAAATACAGGTTAGTTAGAAAGAGTCTGCGTTCGTACATAGTAACAGTTAAAAGAGAGCGACCAAACAAAGCACAGACAGTCGGCTGCACGAGTAAGTGCACAGACAAATACTGAGAGACAGTGGGTACGTGTGGAAACGGAAGTGGAAGAAAGAGAATAACACCTGTTATTTAGCCTGGTTTTGGTAGAGACTACGCTTCGAAGCTCTACAACCTCGCGGACCGCGAAGTTATGGAGAGTCACCATCGCGATTATAGGATACTCCTTCGTAGACGATGTTCATCCACACTCCATCGAGCGCGTAGCTCAACTTCACCCAGCTGCTGTGAACAGCTGTTCACTTGTCACTCATGCTGTGTCACTATTCGAAGGAGATTTCCGAACTGACTTTCCTTAGGGAAAAGTAATTGGTGTGATATAAGTAGCACAACACAATAAGAGAAGCAAGAAAGTACTCGTCGGCAGCCTCCACCTTCAGACGGATTGTTTTTTTTATTGTTTGGTAGTTTTTTGTTATTAATTATTTTTTGTTTTGCTCCGCAAACATTCAAAGCCAACTCTGTCAAATATGCACTGCATTGGGTAGTGGTATGAGAACAAATGACCAGCATTATTGTTAGAAGCTGCAGGTAGAACTTTAAGAAAAAGAAGAAAAAAGAACCGTTGGGATACGTTCTTCACATATCCTTACAGTATATTACATGAGAGTGACCTCGGTTCCTCTACCCCCCTAGAGCTCGCTAATGGTATTTGCAAGAATCCACCGCAGCCTGAACAAAAAAACAACCAAATCAAAGTCGTGAAAATTGCTGATTGTTGCAGCTCATTCCAAGTTCGTCAAGAATTACAATATGCAAATAACGGAGGCTGATATTGGATTGAGTTAAAGATATACATTGAAGTATAGACCGCGAGACGCGCGTGTGAATGTAGTATCTGCAATGGCTCTAATAGCGCAGGTAGCTCAGTGTTGAACCGGGTTCAAGTCCCACATAGCCACAAGATGTATGGTAGTGCTGGTGAAAGAGCTGAGACTGCCAGTTTCACCTGCTGTGCACTGCCGAGTGCCCTTGAGCAATGGCAACCTTAACCCCGAAAACATGCTCATTGAGGCGCTTTAACGCGCACGGCCCCAGGCACTCCACTCTCTTCTCTTTGCATGTCACAGTGCGATGAAGTGGTGTGTGTATAAAAAGAGTAAAAAACAACAATTCAATTGGGCATACAAGTACAAATCAATAAATATATTCTTCTTTTCTCTTCTTCTTCCTTCTTCTTCTTCCTTCTTCGACAAAATAACTGGTCAGGTATATCCCATCCAGTTGTGCGCTAATCGTTAATGGTTGTCCATAATAGAGAAGAGAACGACAGCACTGTAATAGTGCAGTTTGTGGATGTGCCATGGTGAATTTCTGCGGTTCTCGAGCGCTCTACAGTGGGATAGTTTAGGCGATGCCATTACATGCTCCTAAGATCGTAAGCCGTCGATATAAGTTACTTATTTGGCTTCTTTAAACCATCTGAGGCTAATTTTGTCGACGTTGTCCTTCATTGAGCGTTTACCGTGCTCGAAACGACATCCAGCAGAGTCTGTTTCCTGTGTCGTTGCGGTAGCTAGACTAAAAGCTGCCAAGCAACACTGACATGCCTGATCCCAAGTTCTGACTTTGAAGCGCTCTTGCGAGACTCGGTAGACTGAACGGTTGCGGTTCGGTTCGGGGAACAGCGCTGCTCTCGCTCCTCCCAGCAGGATGATAAACTTGGATACGTGGCAGGTTGATGTGCGACGGTGTGCAATCTCTAGTGGCAGCTGGTGGAGTGCATGTTTTGTTTTGTCATTTGTGGTTTCATGATGCAATGATGCATGGAATGACGGGGGAGTCCTAACACGTCGCGTCCAAAAAGCCCATGAGGTTCAGTGGTTGAGAGTACATGATTCACATCATTTTCATGATACTCATACACACATGGTTCGTATCTGGCATCTACTGCTAAGTGCCCCACAGCTAAGGCCAAGCAGTGTTGCTGCGACATGCGGAAATCCATATAAACTAGCTGGTGGTGACGGTATACTGTAGGTCTGATGGTAGACACGTGTGCTGCTAACTGAAACTGAAGGGGTAGTAGACAAGACAGGATGCACTTAGTTTGGTTCTCAACCCTGCTTGACTTGCGTAATGACATTTTTGTCCTCAACTGATACCCTTCTCCATGAAAGACTCCATCCACCAGCAGCCACAGAGAACGGGACTGGACTACGATATGCCGTGTTAGCCGATGGACCAGTGTGCGTATATATGATAACAGCAAAGAGGTAAGGGTTATCTAGAAATATTTCATCTGTACTTTTCTGTCTTTTCTTGCTCAGGAGAGTGGCAATCCTTCCCAGGTAGTAGTGCCAGCGACATAAGACACACAGGCCACAAGTCTACAGACAATTTTCCCCGACAGCCCTCTCTGAACAAGACCATTGAGGGTGACAGTGAGAAAGAATCAAACCTCCATCCATGCTCTGCAACTGACTCTTACGTGTATGTTCTAACTTTAAAATACTTGTTTTTAGTTGTATTTTTTAGCATAACACTTGGATGCAATGTCAAAGAATATCTTCGTTGACGATGATTCTGATGAGCCCTCGGCTTGCGCAGCCTGTTCAGCCAGGTAGGTCTTAGTTTTGAACAAAGGAACCTCAGCTAAGGGTTAAGCTGCATACTGGTAACCGTGCCTAGGAGGGATTGGTCGAGCGTATAACATACGAGAACTGGCTGCCATGTTTTCCATGTCGGTGAGAAAGCTAGAGCGAAGCGCGAAGGGAGGTTATAATTTATTCTAGGTGTTAGGTCCGGCAACCCTCCGGTTCCCAAACACTGAGCTACTGCCGTCTACTTAGAGCCATTGAGATATCTTAACGGGTCTGGGTCTATATTAATTATATTATTAGAATAATATCAGCCCCTCCTTATTTGCATATTGTAATGTACTTGACGAACCTTGGAATGAGCCTCAACAATCAACAATCTTTCACGACTTTGATTGGTTGTTTTTTTGTTCAGGCTCGGTGGATTCTTGCAAATACCATTAGGAGCTCTAGGGGGAGCTAGAGGAACCCGATCAAGGTCTCATGTAACCTAATACTGTAAGGATATGGTGAAAAAGTTTTTTTTTTTTTTTTTAAAGTTCCCTACTGCAGCTTTAACATAATGTGTTTTGTTCCTCCATATAAAATTGCAGTGCATATTATAGAGTTGGCCTTTGAGATGTTTGCGGAGCGAAACAACAAATAATTAATTAATAAAATAAATAAACAATAAAAAAACAATCCGTCTGAAAGGTGGAGGGCTCCGACGGAGTACTTTCTTGCTTCCTTTATTTGTGTTGTGACTACTTATTATCAAAATTATTTTTAAGGAAAGTTCAGTTCGGAATCTCTTCCGAATGTGAACAGCTGGTGAAAGTGAACAGCTGTTCACACAGCTGGGTGCAGTTGAGTAGCTCTCGTGGAGGTGTGGATGAACTCGTCTACGAACCGGAAGTATCCTATTATGGCATGGTGACTCTCACATAAACTTCCGGTAGGGTGTGAGCTTGAAGCGTAGTCTCTACCAAGAATCCAAAGGCTAATAAAGGCTGTTTTTCTTTTCCATTCCTCATTTCCAAACGGTAAATGTCTTCAGTATTTGTCCCTGTGCCACTTACTCGTGCAGCCCGACATGTTGTGCTTGTTTGTGTCGCTCTCTTTTAACGTTACTATGTACGAAAGCAGACTTTTCTAACTAAACGCTGTACTTTTGTTGAATCAGTAAAATGTCCAAGTCTTTGAAGAAGATAGTGGAGGAGAGCCGGGAGAAGAACATCCCAGAGGTGGAGATGTGCGACAGGGGCATTTCAAACATGATGGACATCCCAGGACTATGTAAGAGAATGACTTCCACTTCTTAAGCCTGTTATCATTACCGCCATTATGCTTTAGTTTTTCCTGACGAATACTCAGAATGTGTGGGATCAAACAAACGCAGCCATGGCTCAGTGGTGATGACGCCGCTGCTCGCCTCTTCTGCGGTGTTGCCAACTTCCCCAATAATCATCAGTAGTCTAATCACACTCACATTCAACTTTATTATTCAAATAGGCCTTTATTTTACACACAAGGAATTTACTCTCAGTGTACTTAGGCTTTATGCTGAAAGCAAGTAATACAGTAAAGTCACCTATATAATGGGCAGACGTGGGAAGTATAAAAGTACAAATACTTCTAATCTGTAGCCTATCTGTACTACATTTTCAGGCTGCTATTACTATTGCTTTAGTTTTAAAAGTCCAGTGTGTGGGATTTACTGGCATCTAGCAGTGAAGTTGCAGTTTGCAGCCATCTGAATACAGCTCAGCCTATTACTCAACAGCAAGGGCGAAAAGGCCATTTCTTGGGCTATTTGGTTTGTCCATTCTGGGCTACTGTAGAAACACGTTGGTTTAACATGGTGGCCTGTGTGAAAGAGTAGCCACTTCCTCTGTAAATAAAACCAGCTCATTCTAACCTAACAAAAACCCAATGATTCCGATATTCGGGTGATTATTCGTTCATAAAAACGTACCTATTAATATTATATAATAATAACATAATAATGAATCTTATTGTGTTGATTTTTATTTTGCATTATTGCACACCTTCTAAAAATCAAGTCTGGTGTACATCACACACCCCAGTCGTAACATGATAAAAACAAGATACAAGATGAAACACACCAGTTTTAGTTGTTGGTCACTAGAGATTCCTTTTTTTGATTTTCCAGGAGAACAATAGGTTAGAAATTTTATATCCTCCTCCCTTTTCTTGCTCCAGTGTTTCCACTGTGCAGACCTTAGATACATTTTATTATATATTCTTAATGGATAAAATGAGTAACCTCTAATGACGGCTGTGGCTCAGAGGAAGAGCGGTTCGTCCACTCACAGAAGGTTGTTGGTTCGATCCCTGGCTCCTCCCACCACACGTCGAAGTGTCCTTGAGCACGATACTGAACCCCAAATTGCTGTGTGTATGTGTGTATGAATGAGTTAGTTT